CAGATCACCTGGGACCATTACTAATGGCCAAGGCCTGCAGAGCTCATGCCTTAAAGCTAAGGAATTCATTGAAATAGCTGAACATTCTAGATGGACTATGGGGTGAGCTGCTGTTTTGTTGTTCATACACAGACCTTGGTAACTGTACGTTCCCTTGTGCAAAGAGATCAGAGTCCATGTAGATGCTTCATTCAGCTGAGGGGCATTTATTCATCCTTCAAGGCCAGCTACTGTAGGTCTAATTGTGACTTTCGAAAAGATCTGTTGAAATCCCAACCTTGCCAGTACTTATGAATGTGGCTGGACCAATTCTTATTATTACTTTAAAAAACCCTAGCCACAAATAATAAACTACTTTATATTGGCACAAAGAGGTCCTTGCTCTGCCCTGGTATGTTCCAGTTTGTGGAGCTTTGCCTTAGCAAAAGGGTCACCATGGGGTGGGGGTGGCGGGAGCAAGGAAGGCTCTGAAAGCAATTGCAGAAGTTTCTGAGAGCATCCTTCCTAGACCTGTCCTTAGTAAGGCCAGCTCTGGTGTGGTCAGGGCCATTTGTCATGTGTGCCCATGTGAAGAAGACATTTTTGCCTTCAATGTCTTCACAGAAGGTGAGGCTCAGGGATACAGAGAGCACCGTGGGATACTGTGACACTGTACTCAGAAGGTCTCTCCATCATGAGCAAGCTATTGGTGCTGCTCACCATATTAAGAAAAAATGAACTTTCTCTGTTGAATGTTTGGAAAAAATCAAAGGAAATGTGAAATTAAGGGATCAAAGAGTGTTTGGACAATAACATGAACAAAGCCACTCACTTTCCAAAAGCCGATTTAAAAACATTTTATCTAGAGAATCTCCTCAAAGTTTATAAATAGTGCCTCACTTTGTTCCAGCATCAACCTTGAACAAACACTTCCAGTTTTATAACTAAACTTCTGACACTGTGGCCAAATGGGTTGGAATGGAATCTCTGTTTTCATCTGGCTTATTGCTTTCCCTTCTGTGGCCACAGTCTTTGTCTGGGCCATGGGATTACTCCATCAATCAAATATTTATTGAGTAACCAGACAACCAATGCAAAACTGAGGCTCGGATCATATTGTATTCCGTACCGTTGGGCTGGGTCGATCTGTCTTGATTTTAGACATCTTTGTCTAAAATCACTAATGCTCATCTTTGCTTTGGAGTGTAGAGAAGACCCACTTGGTTTCAAAAATATAAACATATCGATGCACAGGCAAACTTGTGCTGTGACGTTTACAAAGGAAATATACCCTGGGTTGCTCCATTTTGGTACCTGTGTGTGAACACTCCTTTCCATTTTACCCCTTTTCTCTTTAATGTGTCAACAATGCCAATAACATTCACTTGAAATTGGAAGCTCTGAGAATTAAATTTCAGTCTCTTTAATGTTTTGGAGATACAGGAAGGTTAAGAATGTAGACTCTGCCAGCCCTGGAGACTGCAAGACCAACATACAGTATGTGGGGGAAGGTCCACACTTACTTGCAGTTTTATCAAGTGGGCGTCCTGGGAGTGGTTGGCACTGCTTACCAATACTGTCAATCCTCCTTTTGGAGACGTGATAAGATTTGGCTTCCCCATCAAGTTAGGATTGACAAAATGACAAGTTTTAGCCAATGAAATGTAAGCAGAAATAACGTGTCACCTTTGGACAGATTCACAATTTTTCATGTTCTCCTCCGCCTTCCATGGCAACTGGTGATGCTCCACCTGGTTGAGGTTCTGTCGTGTTGGGTCCTGGAATGAAGCTACCTTCACTGACCTGTACTGAACATGTAGCAAGAGAGAAAAACAATAATTTGTTCTAGGCTACTGAGATGTTGGGATGGTTTTTTCCCTGTAACATAACCACATATGTGATAAATAATACAGAAATTAGGATATTGAAATGAATTGCTGTCTTGATAAGGGCCATAAAGGAGGGAGGGGGCAGCAAGAGGCTGTGCCTGCAGGAATTTAGGATGCAGATTGTGTTCTGGATGAGCTCATGCCTCTAGGGGAGAAGATTGGGAGAGATGATTATTGTTAGTAGCATGTGCTGGTGGTTATTTTGGCAAGATGTTACAAGAAAGAGGTGAGTTTAGAAAGAAATGGATGCATTTTCAAGCAGGAATGTAAAAAAAAACAGAATTCAGGGACTGATAAGCCTGAAATAAGACTCAGTCCTAAACAGCAGCAACAGGGATCAATGAAAACTCGGTCGTGTATCAAGGGACAAATTCAGGGTGCCATCATCATATCAATTGTTAAAACCTGTATCAAGATGTCTCTGAGTAACAGTTCAGATAATGGTGTGGTGTTCAAAAGAAAAAGTACCCTTTCACCTAAACAAAATGGTTTAGGGAAAAGAGACTGAAAATGTAACTCCTCCTAAAGCCTCATATCTTCAGGGAATCGAAATTAAATTGAGAGAGACCTGGGAACAAGAAAGAAAAGCAACATAAATATGTGAATCATGCCTCAAAAGGAACTGTGGCTATTGGCTGATTAGAATAAAACACAAAAGAAGCTCTGTTTTTGACAGAGTTGTATTGACAAAAGAAATGTCCATCAATTGGGACAGACAGAGGGTAATGGTTGAAAATGTAAATTACTTGGGGACTCCAATCACAAGAGCAGGAAGTGGATTGAGAAAGATGCCTGTCCCAGAGAAGGACACATTTTACAGCTCTTGTCTTAGTCCATTCGGTTGTTATAGCAAAATGCCATTAACTATAAGAGCAACAGAAATCTATTTCATATAGTTGCAGAAGCTATAGTTTCTAACAGGTTCAGTATGCAGTAGTGGCCTGTTTCCTGTACTTACATGATGTCTTCTAGATGCATCTGCTGATGGTGCATGAGCTCTCTGGAACCTTCCTTCTCAGGGCACTAATTCCATTCACAAGTGCTCTACCTTCACATCCTAACCACCTCCCAAAGGCTTTGCCCCTCATGCCATCACCTTAAGGGTCAGGATTTCAACATAGGAATCTGGACTATCATTGGTCAGTATTAGCTAGGTTAGACTGAAGTAACAAACAACCCCAACCTCTTAGGGGCTTATAACATGAAAAGCTTATTTCTTATTTCCATATGTCCATCTTGGGTGGGCAAGGTTTCCAGTCTACATTGTCCTCACTTAGGGACCTAGACTGGTATAAACTCCATCTTCTAGAACAACAGTGGTTGCCAAAGTTCTGAGAAAAGGAGCATAGCAAATGAACCATTCAGACCATAGCATCCATTTGAAAAGCAGCTCCAGAGAATAGTGAGAGGCTTGTCCAGGTGCTGGGCCAGGCTTCAGGAGGGTGCCTGGATAAGAAAGCCTTTGTTAGGGCAGGATTGAGACCCAAGCAAGGAACTTTTCCTATCTTCAAGTAGGAGACTGTGGAATATCTGCTGTGTTGGATTTAGAATTGCTACAGACCAGTGAGGACAATGTAGACTGGAAACCCTGCCCACCCAAGAGGGACGTGTGGAAATAAGAAATAAGTTTTTGGGGGGCTGGAGTGGTGGCTCAGTGGTAAAGCGTCTGCCTATCATATGTGAGGCACTGGGTTCGTTTCTCAGCACCACATATAAATAAATAAAAAAGAAGTCCATTGACAACTAAAAATTATTAAAAAAAAAAAGAAAGAAAGAAACTTTTCATGCTTTAAGCCCCTAAGAGGTTGGGGTTGTTTATTACTACTGCAGTCTAACCTAGCTAATACTGACTAATGATGGTGAAATGTTTAAACGGGATATTAAAAGATTTTCCTCATGCATAAAAACAATGTCTTCTAATAGTTAAATTTGCCCTACTGAATACTTCCACCAGTATTTTCCACATATTTCTGTTAAAAGTTTAGTAAACAGTGGCTCAGTGGTACAGCACTTGCCTCACACATGTGAGGTACTGGGTTCGATCATCAGCACCACGTAAAAATAAATAAATAAATATATCGTGTCCATCTACAACTAAAAAAATATTTTAAAAAAAGTTTAGTAAACAAATTAGCTGGTATTTTAAATCTCCTCCTCACAAAGATGCATAGATTTCATTAAATATAAGGTGTCCCCAAATCGTATTCTATCAGGTAATATGATTTTCATTACTTTCTGACACTTGTGTTATGCCAGAATTCAATCATATTTTCACTTTTATTTGTCTAAAACTAATCTGTTTAAAAATAACACACAATATTTTTAAGGATAAGACAAACTCATTTATTTTAAAAATATTTGCAAGGAGAAAAGAGCTGTCTTTAACCATTTGGTACAAATTAAATCACTGCTGTTGAGCACTACATCTTCTCCTGGCACTGGGTTATGAAGTTGTCATTGCATGATAAAAGCAAGCGTACAAATTTATCTAGGGACAAAGTCTTTTTCAGACCCTTTAAAGGTGGGTAACATGGTACATGTTGTCTACAACTATGATTTTGCACAAGATAAGAAAATATTCTTCAAGCTGATGATTTATTTCTCTTCTCCATGGTTTAAGGACATTGCATTAATCTTAATCCTATGCAAGTTAGTCTGTGGGGAGTTAAGATAATAGAGTGCAGGTTTATTCCTTTCTGATGATCTAATTTACTTCAGGGATAGGGCTTACAGAAACTAGAGAAATGGAGAGATGATATATTTCCTCTAAATCTCAAATATTTTAAGCAAACTTCTGGCAAATGCTGAACTGTAGTTGGTTTGCAACTGGATCCTTTGACAAATGGTCAAAGTGGACATCTTTGTTGTCTTCTCTTCCTTTGTTAACCTTGTCCCTCCTTCTTAGGTTGAAGTCCTAACCTCCAATGTGCTGGCGCAGTCTTCCCCCCTGTGCAGTTTCACTACCTGCGTCTTCATGGCTCCATGATCCTCCTTGCCTGATGCTATGTCACAACACCTGCGCCCCTCACCTCACTTCATCTCGTCACCTAGGCACTGCATGATCTCGCATCATTACAGGAAGAAGGGTGAGCACGGTACAATAACATATTTTAAGAGAGGAGAAACACATAATTTACATTACAATATAGTATTACTTTATTATTAGTTATTGTTAATCTCTTACTCTGCCTAATTTATAAATTAAATTTTTATTATAGATATCTATGTATTGGAAAAACAGAATATGCATATAGTTCAGTACTGTCCTTGGATTTAGGTACCAATTGGAGGTCTTAGAATATATCCCTCATGGATGAGGGGTGCTACCATATTTGGAGGTGGGCGATTAGGCATAGATGAGGTCATGAGGTTGGGATTCCCAAGATGGGGTTAGTCTGTCTGTGTATCTTTCTCTCTCTCTCTCTCTCTCTCTCTCTCTCTCTCTCTCTCTCTCTCCTCTCTCTCTCTTTTTCTGCCATGTGAGGACACAGTGAGAAGGTGGCCATCTGGATAGCGGGAAGAGAAACCCCCACCAGGAACTGAACATGCCAAAACGTTGGTCCTGCATATCCCAGACTTCAGAACTATGAGAAGTGGCTATCTGTTGTTTATGTCACTGAGTCCATGGGATTTTGTTATAGTCTCCCAAGCTGACTAGGATACCGACCACCAAAATTATTACCTTTCCAGGTCCAGCTAAAATACTAATCCTTTACAGAACATTTGGTAGAGGCAACAATTACGGTGTATATTTTTAACTAGAAGACAGCAATAGCTAGGTTCCCGTGTGCTAGGCACTGAATTGGGCGCTATCTCCTTTCATTCTCATTGTAAGCTTGTGTCTTGGAGCTGTTTCTATCTGCAGTAGGCATCCTCCAGCCTAGAATTCCACAATTACAGAAATGTTCCGTTGTGGCCTTCGCATCCAACATGCCTGGGTTTGGTTTCCTAGCTTCAACACTCACTAGATGAGTCGTGTGATTTCAAGCAAATTCTTTGACTTCCAAGTGCTGGGATATTCATTCCTTCATCAACAGCTCAGGACGCCCCAAGCCCTGAGCTTCCCTCCTTCATTAAATCCCAGGTCGTCAGTTTTTGGCTTCCTCTTTTGCTTTGGTGGAGCACAGTCTCTCCACGCTTTCCAACAGAAAGCATGAGCCAGAAGGCTGTGCTAATGAGACCTCCCATTGTCTGAAATGTGATTTATTCGACTGTGTCTTCAAGGGGTGCCTGGCGCCTTCCTTCTTGAGCTCTTCTGGGGTTCATCCTTGTTAATCAACATGTTCTGGGTTTTTCCCATTGCCAGCCTGGGTTCAAGGTTTCTTTAGTTGGTCAAACTAGTTTCTACTTTCCGTCTTCTGAGGTTGTGTAGTTGTCCTCTCTCCATGGTGGATTTGTCCTTGATCGTTCATACTTTTTTTTTTTAATCCTTTTATTGTAACGTAATTTTATTGGATTTTTAGGAAGAACACAGGTATCCTTAGTATTGAGAGTATTCAATGTGCTACAGTTCAGGAGAGTGGGACTATTGCTATTTCGGTGGGAAGATTTCAGAGGGTAGCTACAGCTCTAGTCCATACAGACCATCGGTTGTACCTCTTTTACTTAAAGGTCAGAATATGGAGGAAGGAGTTGGGGTGAGGAGTTAATGGTTTCCATTTGGGGCAAGTTGATGTTGAAATTCCTAAGGGACATTTGAAGGCAGACTTCTTGGATCCTTTGGATGGAAGAGCCTGGAATTTAAGAGATAATTCTGGGTTAGATAAGGATAAACAGACGTCATCAGTAGGGAAGAGACAGTGAGAAGAGTGTGTGAGGAGACCCAGGAACTGAGGACCGGATGCCTCTAAGCCTCCTGTGAAAGGGAGTGACCTGTAAAGGAGATGAGATTATTCCCCAGGGCTCTGTTTTGTTTCACTACTCTCCGATAGCTGGGATAAAAAAAAACAAAAAAAAAAAAAAACCAAAAACCATAAACCAAAAAACAATATGTTTTGAAGCAGAGTTCCAAACTCTTCTTTATTTTTAAAATAAACTTTATTTATTTAGGAGCAATTTTAGGTTCACTGCAAAACTGAGCAGAAAGTGCAGAGAGCTCCCCTATTCCCCTGGCCTCCCACATACACAGCCTTTCCTCACCATCCATGTCCCCCCAGAGGGGTGCATTTGTTACAGTCCATGAGCCAACACAAATACCTCATTCTCACTCTAAGTCCATGGTTCACCCCAAGTCCTTGGTTCACATGAGGCCTCACCCTTGGTAATGTCCATTACATGGGTTTTTTCAAACGTGTATCCAGCATTATAGTGTCATACGGAATAGTTCCACTGTTCTAAAACTCCTGAATGTTCAATTCTCCTTTTTTAGGGAGTTATGCAACTTACTCTTCTCTCTAACACTGCTTTCTGAGTTTTAGCATACATGACAGCAAAACCGTGAGATATTGGGGATAAGCACATGCTAAGAGGGAGGGAGGAGTGCTGTGGAAACTGGATCACCTTAAAAGGTCTACTTGGTTCATAGGATGTCACCCAAACCCGCCTTCCTCTTTAAATGCCTGCCAATAGCCGACGGGCTAGACCCAGTGACCTTGCCACAAAAGGGGCTCTTTGCTGTCTTGTGAGCCAGTGAACCCTGACAGGGTACCAACCACCCCAGCAACCCCCAGCAAGACAGAGCCTCAGAGTTACCAGACAGAGTCACTCACGCACTTACTGCCTTCAAATATAGTGTATGTAATGTCTCTCGAGAGAGAGAGAGAGAAAGAAGTTCACCCCTTAAAGGGGAGACCTTGCCTCAGACCCTCAGAACAGAGCTGGGAATGACTGCCTGTGGCCTGGCAGTCATGCAAGGCATTAGAGCCATGTAACCAACTACTGATAATGACAGCTTCTTTGACAGGGTCTGCATTTTTCTCAAGAAAGAGCTTTGAATCTGCATAGGTACATGGGCAGGGATTTGCTTAAGAGGGTGTGGATCTGGGTCATGAAAAAATGGAGACAAGTTTGATCTGAAAATATTCAGGGCAAGTGTTATCAGCTAGCCACCCCAACAATGAACAGATCTTGCAGATTATCTTATTTTTGAGTGAAAGTGCTAGAAACACATCCTATATTTCTGCTACAGCAATGGTTTTCCATCTTGACTGCTCATAAGAATCATAGGGAAACTTCTAAAAACAGTGAGTAGAATTTGATTTAATTGGGCTGAGTGGCCCAGCACGTGTCCATCTTAATAGCTCCCTCCTGTGATTGTACCTGCAGCCAGGGCAAGACCTACTGTAGGAACTAGCTGCTGCTGACTCTTAGCAGCTCAAGGAGGTGGCCTGTGGAATGGAGTTTGTGGTCAGTTCAGACATCAGTTCAGCTCCAGTGACAAAAGTGATCCAACAACAAAGGCCATAGTAATGTGATTTTTGTTGAATGAATGTTAAGTAAACAAATCTCACGTCACAGATAAGGAGCAGGAAAGGGCTCTCAATCAGACAGATGAGCCCAGAGGCAGAAGCAGGGTCTGTAATTGGGTCAAGTGGTCCAGTGGAGACCACTTGGAGACTCGGTGCTTTTTCTCTTTGACACAGTGCATTCCATACCAAATCCCACAGGTCCCCTCATCTGTTGGGCTTCAAAGACCTGTACCATGTTACCCCTGCCCGGAACACGAAAGGGGCCTCAGCATCTGGGGGTCCTTGGGTGTGTCTTAGGGGATTATTTCACGGAGAGCTGGCTGGGAAAAGGAAAGGATGGAGGGAAGGACCAGGATTTGGGGGCCTCAGCCCTGTTTCAATCAGAGACATTTCAGTTTTATCCGTTTTATATTTTGGTATAAATATTTTTTGAAGGAAAATGTTTAATGCTAATAAACTAAACAATTTAAAAAGTAATGGTTTAGTCCAATAAATCCCCAGCTATTAAAATAAAGAAAACAAGGCCAAGAAGTTAAAAGATATATCCAAGACCTACATAGGTGATGGCCCAGGTAAAAACAGCCTCTGTCTCATCAGTTATAACCACTGACCACATAGTAACTTGAACTTCCAGAACAATGTTAGGTAACAATGATATTGCACAGCCTGTATTACTTCCAATTTTATTAAAAACACGTACGTGGACTGTGGATGTAGCTCTGGGGCAGAGTGCTGGCCTAGCATGCACAAAGCCCTGGAGGAAAAACCCAACCAAACAAAAAACTAAGAGGTAGCTACAATGCTGGAGTGTTAAGCCTGTTTGTTGGTGAGAAGGGTCTTTTTAGTGATGTTAAGGAAAAATATTGGTTACAGGGAAGTCTACATGAATTAGAATCTTTTAAGCATACAAAAAGAATCATAGTCTTTATCTTATCTCTGCTATAGGTAAGAAATATTAGGATCCCCAACTGTGAATCCGCCTTGTATTCATAGGTAAATATTTCTTGTTTATGGTGACTCATTCTTTTAATGTATCCTTTTTGTTTGAATTTTTATTTCAAAATAATTTTAGGTTGAAAAGAAGTTATAAAGAAAACATGAGGTGATTCCAAGTTCCTTTCATTCAGTTTGTCCCAGTGGTTACCTCTTAAGTAACTATGGTACCTCAAATCAGAAATTAGCATAGTGTGGGGGTAGGTAATTGTTTCTTTTTTTTTACTTTGCTACTGTTTTTATGGAGATCTTTGTTTTGTTTTTGCTGTGGTGTAACATACATAACAACAAAAAAAAAATCATCACTTTAACCTTTTTAAATTGTGCAATTCTGTGGCATTAAGTATATTCACAACCTTGTATAACCATCACCACTAACCATTTCCAGAATTTTTTCATCATTCCAAACAGAATCTTTGTACCCATAAATTACACCCCCTTCCTTCCCCCATTCCCCTCCCTCCCCTCCATCCCCCCCCAGCCACTATTGTATTTAGGGCTTCTATGAATTTTCCTTTCTAGATCTTTAATGGACTCCTGACTTCAATTTACAGCTTTGCATGAATGTTCTTCTTTGTATAATTTTAGAATTGTAGTGTTTTGACAGATAGTGGTAGTTTCAAAAATGGAACTTGGTAGTCTCCCATCGTGTGTGTGTGTGTGTGTGTGTGTATGTGTGTGTGTGCGAGAAAGAGAGAGAGAGAGAGAGGAGGGAGAGAGAGAGAGAGATTTGAATAATGTATATTACACTGGAATTGGCTGTTGTTTGAAATTTCAAAATAAACTCCATGGAAATATCATCTGGCCTAAAGGCATTTAAGTATTTAAGATTTATCATGCATAATCCACACTTCGGCTGTCTTGTCCTTGGTGTTCAGGATGAGTGACCTTAGGCAGAAGGGTGCACAGGGAGAACCACAGAAACATTAGCACATCAGGGTGGGTAGAGACCTTGGAGACCTCCCAGTCTCATCTCTTCATTTACAGACAAGGACCCTATCTTCCAGAGAGGACAAGGGAAATCTTTCCCAAAACTGAGCCAAGACAAACACCCAACACTCCAGACTCCCCTCCAACAGAGGCTGCACCATTTGAATTCCCATCTTTCTTGGAGATGACTCAATGTAATCTGACTGATGCAAAGGGAAGATGGTGTTGGAGCTTTTTCCAAAATGTTATTATAGACTTGCAGTTGTTTCCTCCTAAGAACTGTTCTCTAAGGGCTCAAGACTTCTTGAATTCTCCTTCCCTGGTTGGGAGGGATGTTGGAGGCTAGCCAGCATCAGAGCTGGTAGAGGGGGTGTCTGTGATCCAGATCTTGTGAGGAAGCTGAGGTCCACTGGGGAACACCTTCCATGCCAGGGCTGCATGTCTAGGGTCACATAAGTAAGAAAGGACAGAGGCTGCCACTGAAGGCAGGGTAGTGTAAACAGAAATAAATGAGTAGTGAGAGAGACCTAGAGCAATCCAGAGAAACGGGACAATTTGTCTCTGATGGCTTTTAGGAATGTCACATTGTGGTCCACAGGAGCCAACAAAAAGAAAAAAAGAAACACAATCACCTGATCATTTTTTAGGATGAAAACTGGGGCAAGGTCACACTGAGGGTGTGACATGAGTGCCCTCCCCTTCTCAGTAGTTGATGTGGATTGGTTGGAAGCCTAGGCTGTTTGCAGCAAGGACCTTGCAGTTCACGGCCTTGAGTTCCTGGTGCAGCAGATTCCAAGTATCTTTGAAACTGAACAATTCATTCTCTTGAGAAAAGTGCCAGTCTTATGTTAATAACCTCATCATGCAGATTAGAACAGGTAAGGGCACAACCAGTAAGAGGCAAAGCCAGGATTAGAATCTGGATTTGCAAAACCATTTCAATGAAAAGAAAAATAAAATAAGAGGAAAGTAGAAAATAAAGTAGATAAACACAACTTGAAATTCCAAAGTAGAAAGTTTGAAAGAGTATGGCCCGCCAAGGCCCGCCCCTCAGAGACCTATAAGCTTGCTAGTAGCAGGTGGGTGAGCTGGCAGCCATAGACTGGATTTCCTGATGGGCAGGAGTTGAGTGAGAGACGGGACCTCTGACATTTTGGCCAGAGAGCTACAGACTGTGAGTTCCCAGATCCAAGAGTGGAGACCGCCTTGGAAGAGGGGCCGGGCTGTGCTGGGGGAGTCGCTTTCAGCTAATTTCTCCCAGTGAACAAAATCCAGAGACAATAAGCAGTTTTCCTACCCCACTGATATTATCTCAGATACATATAATGCACCATTTGTTGTTTGACCAGAGGCCTTCATTCTTTCAGATTGTTAAGATCCCAATAAATCAACAGGGAATAACA